TGATGTCACCGTCCAATACCTGTCCAAATAGCCATTCCAATATGCAGTCATGAATGTGTTTACATTATTTATAATGTAGTTTAATAGCAAATAATGAACAAACAAAATACTCACCACACTGAGTGGTGGGAGGGCTGGCTGCCAGTTGCGGGGGTCGGAGGGAGGGTAGTAGGGACTCGCAGGTGGCGGGAAACTTGAATATGATTTGGCGGCTGGGAATTTGGTGGCTGGGAATTTGGCGGTTGGGAATTCGCGAATGTGTGAAGCCCGCGAAAGCTGAAAACGTGAATGTTGAGGGAGACCTGTAGTAGGTAAATTGGGGGGGCCAGGGCTAAACGAAAATGGAGAGCCTTCAATTGAGCTTTGTGTAGAAAGAGGTTTGGTAATAAGTAATACATATTTTATGAAAAAGAGGATAAATAAATATACAAGGTATGATATAGCACATAATGAAAGTAGCTTGTTAGATTATGTATTGGTAGATAAAAGGTTGATGAGTAGGCTCCAGGATGTACATGTTTATAGAGGGGCAACTGATACATCAAATCATTATTTAGTTGTAGCTACAGTTAGAGTAAGAGGTAGATGGGACAAGAGGAAAATGGCAACAAGATGTAAGAGAGAGGTGAAAGTGTATAAACTAAGGGAGGAGGAAGTTCGGGTGAGATATAAGCAACTATTGGCAGAAAGGTGAGCTAGTGCAAGTATGAGTAGTGGGGGGGGGGTTGAAGAGGGTTGGAATAGTTGTAAAAATGCAGTATAGAATGTGGGGCAGAAGTTTGTGGTTATAGGAGGGTGGGTGCAGGAGGAAAGAGGAGTGATTGGTGGAATGATGAAGTACAGGGTGTGATAAAAGAGAAAAAGGTAGCTTATGAGAGGTTTTTACAAAGCAGAAGTGTTATAAGAAGAGTAGAGTATATGGAGAGTAAAAGAAAGGTGAAGAGAGTGGTGAGAGAGTGCAAAAGGAGAGCAGATGATAGAGTGGGAGAGGCACTGTCAAGAAATTTTAATGAAAATAAGAAAAAATTTGGAGTTAAACAAGTTAAGAAAGCCTAGGGAACGAATGGATTTGTCAGTTAAAAACAGAGTAGGGGAGTTAGTAGATGGGGAGATAGAGGTATTGGGTAGATGACGGGAATATTTGGAGGAACTTTTAATTGTCGATGAAGAAAGAGAGGCAGTAATTTTATGCATTGGCCAGGGAGGTATGCCATCTTTTAGGAATGAAGAAGAGCAGGATGTGAGTGTGGGGGAGGTGCGTGAGGCATTATGTAGAATGAAAGGGGGTAAAGCAGCTGGAGCAGATGGGATCATGACAGAAATGTTAAAAGCAGGGGGTGATATAGTGTGAGTGGTTGGTATTTTGTTTAATAAATGTATGAAACCTAGGTAGTAGGTTGGTAGACAGCAACCGCCCAGGGAGGTACTACCGTCCTGCCAAGTGAATGTAAAACGAAAGCCTGTAATTGTTTTACATGATGGTAGGATTGCTGGTGTCCTTTTTTTTGTCTCATAAACATGCAAGATTTCAGGTACATCTTGCTACTTCTACTTACACTTAGGTCACATTACACATACATGTACAAGCATATATATACACACACCCCTCTGGGTTTTCTGCTATTTTTTTTTTCTAGTTCTTGTTCTTATTTATTTCCTCTTATCTCCGTGGGGAAGTGGAACAGAATTCTTCCTCCGTAAGCCATGTGTGTTGTAAGAGGCGACTAAAATGCTGGGAGCAATGGGCTAGTAACCCCTTCTCCTGTATAAATTACTAAATTTAAAAAGAAACTTATGTTTTTCTTTTTGGGCCACCCTGCCTCAGTGGGATACGGCCGGTGTGTTGAAAGAAAGAAAAATGTATGAAAGATGGGAAGGTACCTAGGGATTGGCAGAGAGCATGTATAGTCCCTTTATATAAAGGGAAGGGGGACAAAAGAGATTGTAAAAATTATAGAGGAATTAGTTTACTGAGTATACCAGGAAAAGTGTACGGTAGGGATATTATTGAAAGAATTAGAGGTAAGACAGAATGTAGGAGTGCTGATGAGCAAGGAGGTTTTAGAGTGGGTAGGGGATGTGTAGATCAAGTGTTTACATTGAAGCATATGTGTGAACAGTATTTAGATAAAGGTAGGGAAGTTTTCATTGCATTTATGGATTTAGAAAAGGCATATGATAGTGGATAGGGGAGCAATGTGGCAGATGTTGCAAGTATATGGAATATGTGGTAAGTTACTAAATGCTGTAAAGAGTTTGTATGAGGATAGTGAGGCTCAGGTTAGGGTGTGTAGAAGAGAGGGAGACTACTTCCCGGTAAAAGTAGGTCTTAGACAGGGATGTGTAATGTCACCATGGTTGTTTAATATATTTATAGATGGGGTTGTAAAAGAAGTAAATGCTAGGGTGTTTGGGAGAGGGGTGGAATTAAATTATGAGGAATCAAATACAAAATGGGAATTGACACAGTTACTTTTTGCTGATGATACTGTGCTTATGGGAGATTCTAAAGAAAAATTGCAAAAGTTAGTGGACGAGTTTGGGAGAGTTTGTAAAGGTAGAAAGTTGAAAGTGAATGCTGAAAAGAGTAAGGTGATGAGGGTATCAAATGATTTAGATAAAGAAAAATTGGATATCAAATTGGAGAGGAGGAGTATGGAAGAAGTGAATGTTTTCAGATATTTGGGAGTTGACCTGTGGATTTATGAAGGATGAAGTTAATCATAGAATTGATGAAGGAAAAAAGGTGAGTGGTGCATTGAGGTATATGTGGAGACAAAAAACATTATCTATGGAGGCAAAGAAGGGAATGTATGAAAGTATAGTGGTACCAACACTCATATATGAGTGTGACGCTTGGATTGTAAATGCTGCAGCGAGGAGACGTTTGGAGGCAGTGGAGATGTCCTGTCTAAGGGCAATGTTTGATGTAAATATGCAGAAAATTCGGAGTGTGGAAATTAGGATAAGGTGTGGAGTTAATAAAAGTATTAGTCAGAGGGCTGAAGAGGGGTTAAGGTGGTTTGGTCATTTAGAGAGAATGGATCAAAGTAGAATGGCATGGAGAGCGTATAAATCTGTAGGGGAAGGAAGGCTAGGTAGGGGTCATCCTCAAAAAGGTTGGAGGGAGGGGGTAAAGGAAGTTTTGTGGGCGAGGGACTTGGACTTCCAGGAAGCTTGCATGAGTGTGTTAGGTAGGAGTGAATGGAGACGAATGGTATTTGGGACCTGACGAGCTGTTGGAGTGTGAGTAGGGTAATATTTAGTGAAGGGATTCAGGGAAACCGTTTATTTTTTATAGCCAGACTTGAGTCCTGGAAATGGGAAGTACAGTGCCTGCACTTTAAAGGAGGGGTTTGGGATATTGGCAGTTTGGAGGGGTATGTTGTGTATCTTTATACATATATGCTGCTAAACTGTTGTATTCTGAACACCTCTGCAAAAACAGTGATTATGTGAGAGTGAGGTGAAAGTGTTTAATGATGATGAAAGTATTTTCTTTTTGGGGATTTTTTCTTTTTGGATCACCCTGCTTTGGTGGGAGACGGCCGAGTTGTTAAAAAAAAAAAAAATTATTAATAAGGAATATTTACATTTTAATTTATAAATAAGTAAGTTTATTCAGGTATACACAAATAGTTATGTACATAGATTATCATACATAGCAGCCTGTGTGTAAAGTACCTAGGATAACCCAAAAAAGTCAGAGTGACTTACGTATTTCCATTGGGGTCCTTTTATATTTACACTTACCTTGGAGGAGATGTTAGTTTAATTAGTTTGATGGGGGAGATGCTGGCAGAGGTTTAGAGTGGCAAAAGATACGTAGCAGGCTAGCATATGTTCAGGGGCCTGATACACATACAACAACATTGTAGAGTTACTTTCGTGTTGTTTTTCTATTGCTTACTCGCTTAACTAACTTGCTGCACTGTTAATTCTACACTTTATCGCTGGCTGGCACTATAGCCTTTATCGATACCTGCTGCTTTAGTATCGTACATATCGTAGAATCATTGAATCACTGCAAAAGGCACATTCACCCCTCTCTCTTCCTCTTCCACTTTGGTACTTTGCTATGAGTTTTTTCTTGAATTTTATTGTTTCTTTCCTTCTTTATCACAGGGCTGGCACTAGAAACTTTCTTTGGGCCCATGGTGGCTTATTTAGCAGTTACAAGCACTAAAAACAATGGAATAATACAAAATATATCCCATGTACACATAGAATCGTCCTCCCTGGCTTGTAAACAATGGCACACTACCTTGTACATGGGCTCAGGCTGCACGGACATGCTCAGAACGAATGTCCTTAACTGAGTTTTTCATAGTTGGCTGAGCCAATATTTTTGCGCAAAACCGCATTGGTATCCGATTTTATCACTATCCGATGGCATTGTTACCTGAGGGTCCACTGTATGTTGTTCCAGTCACAATATTGTGCCTGTTTGTTCTTTATAGGTTTATTTTACTGTAAGGAAAGGCGAGAAACAAAAAATGAGAAGGAAAAGAGCTTAACAGAGGAAGACTGAGGAGAGGGAACCATGTGTGTTTTAGTTTTGGCGATAATCGATAATAGTCTTGGACGACAAAAACATCGTCTAAAGATTTCTCTTCAATTTTTGAATTGTGAAGTGTTTTAAATTGTTGTACAAAATTCTGTTCTGAGAGAGAAGAGACTGAGCATAACTTGACTACACTAATGCAATCAAATCTTATCCAGCTTTCACATTAAATCTGCCTAATTCCTTAACTTTTGGTTTGTTCACTACATACATTTCTGATCGATTTCTTATTCTAACTGTCAGATCTGATGTCTTATTCAAAAGCCATTACTGTTTCAATCTTCAAACAATAGTCTTATTGTCTTTACTATAATTCAAGAACTAGTGCATTGTTCTTAAAATTTAGCTCTTATAAGTACTGGAGTTCTGTAGTATACAGTTTATGTAAAACTGGAGCTGATCTTTTAAGCTCAGTTTCTGTTCTTGGATAAAAAAGGCTCGAGTGCTCGATATGGCTTCCTAGGTACGAGTAATAAAGGCCAGTGTAAGCTGCTGCGTGTAACGTCGCCCGTGAGCCGCAGCTCCGAGGAATTGGACTGTGGAGGGAGACTCTCACCCAGTGAGTTCTTCTGGAGAATAATACTGCTAGTTTTCATGTTGTCCTTTGCTCTACATTTGAAGTTATATTATATGATCACCCTGAATTGTTGTGTACAGTATTAAGATTGTTTCTTAGTATATTTTAAAATCCATGGATTGAAAAATCTGAGAGTAGTCATCCTGTCAAGTTACTTGAAAATCTAAGGTGTTCAAGTTCTATTGTATTAAATGAACTTAAAGACCTGAGACGAGATTAGCTCATCATATATTTTGATGTAATGCTACTCTGAATTTCAGAACACATGGAAGTTTTAGACCAAAATAGTTTTCTAAATTATTCAGTTATTCATATATAAAATTGATCCCTTCAGGTCTTTTAAAATAAATCATAAAAAATTGGTGATCTAGTTAGGATCAGATGAATTTTATATAAATACATTATTTAATGATATGGATTAATAAGTGCATCTGTATGTGAATGGAGTATTTGGGGTTATCATAATAGAATTTACTGTGTTTTATGTTATTATTTAACTGCACCAAAACTAGAATTAGTGATTGTCTTTTATTTTTCTACTTGGCTTAATCTAGTTGTGTGAATAGATTTCTCAGTGTTAGATAACAAATGCATACTGAAGCTGTTGGAATTGCTTTAGTATGTGACATTGTGCAACAGTGCTGAGATCATGACCCAGATACCTATAGTGCAAGGCATACATTGTATAACTAGTGAGAGAGGGTTGAAAATTGAATTTCATTATTGTATTTATATTTTTATTCATAATTATGTAGGCAGAGAAAATGTTTTTAATCTAAAAAAAAAGGCCTAGGGTTTTCATTATTTTTAAAATTTCGTCTCCAACAGATGATAGACTTTTAAAGTATTTGCTACCAGAAGCCTGAGTTTAGTTCAGTCTTCATTACTTCTCTCCAGGTATATGATGTTCAGGAGGAATTATCCATTTTGATGTCTGTCATGTTTGTGTGCTATAACTGATACTCCCTTGGTTAATATTGTATGGTGTTTTTCATTTTCTTAACAGATGTTCCTTGCCCATTGTGTGTATTCATAATAATCTATGGCTTAAGATTTTGTTTACAATTATATATTGACATGTAGGTTTACAGAGTCAATAGATAATTAGATTGTTTTTCATTGTGTATTTTTTGTTGTCATTTCTCTTGTGTATATTATTTTTCTATGGATTAAATAGAAAATCAAATATGAATAAACATTTTTATAAACAAAATTTTTAAAAGTTAATAATTATTAAGGTTCAGAAATTTCTCTTATTACATTAAGGAAGTTGTTCAGGTGATGACTGAATTCTAGATAAAATTTACTAAGCCCATTGACTTATCAGTTGTATAAGAGTCATTTAGGTTTATTTCATTTGTGCATTAATATCAAGATTAATCCTTATAATAGAGATTGAAGTACGTACTTCATTACTTTAATTCTTTTAGTAGAGATTAAAGTACTTAAGTATATATGCACAGATATACAGTAATGTAAGGGAGTGGTAAATTTGGTTACCAGCTTTTAGCCAACACATTTATTTATGTCATCAGAAATAATAGAAGTTAGAGATTAAAAAAAAAATTACAATGATGTTTTGTAGAAAATTGGGCATAGGTATGCCTTTGTTTGAAATCTATTAAAAAAATAAATGTATCAGATATTGGAAAACTCTGTAGTCCTCGTGATTCATTCTGAATAACTCCCTCAGTTCTGCAGATTCCTTATTTGGTATAATCCAGTACATTTTCTGTAATTGTACTCTCTCTTTCAGATTATGTTTGCCCTTAATTCTTTTCCTTTGCCTGAGTTCGTGTTTTAGTTAGCTTTAGTCATTTTCATAATTCATTATTGATATAAGCTTTAAAAACTTATCTTCTTTGTATGATGGATGATTTACATTGAGTTAATGCCCATTGTCCCTCAACAGTTGTAGATGAGCTAGAAGCATCAGGTTTAAGCAATGGGTCAACAGGTCAACTGTCTGTTGCTGGCTTGGTTGGTATTCGTGAGGTAGATAATAAAACGCTTGAGAAACTGTCTGAACGCAGCTATCACAAAGATTACATGCGTCTTGGCCTTGGCAGTCTTGGAAGTAATACTACCACAGTTCCACCAAGAACCAAATCTGAGTTTAGAGTCACATCCTCTAATATCAATTATCAGATATGCAGAAGGTTAGTTCTAGGTTCTAAGTTTTGCAGTAGAAATTTAGTGTGTCATTTCCTGCATGATAATATACTATCACTTTGCTACTACTTGTAATAATAGTCCTTTTAAAGGAGTGCTTTAGTGCTGATGAAGGGCTCTTGATCCAAGGAATGAGTTTAATACTTTCCTAAGAATATACAGTGAACCTTCTTATTAAGTGACAACACAGTGTAATTTTGTGTAAACGTTATTGAAAAAGTGCATCCAAAATTTCATAGTGAGATAAAAAAAATGCAAATTGGTTTGTTTGCAGATGACACACTTTTGTCATCTCTCTAACTTCCCTCAACGACACTGTTAACCCTTTGAGGGTTTCGGACGTACTAGTACGGCTTACGACCCAGGGTTTTTGACGTACTAGTACGCCTAAATTCTAGCGCCCTCAAATCTAGTGGGAGAAAGCTGGTAGGCCTCCATATGAAAGAATGGGTCTATGTGGTCAGTGTGCATGGTATAAAAAAAATCCTGCAGCACACAGTGCATAATGAGAAAAAAAAACTTTGACCGTTTTTTTGGAATAATACAACGACTTTGCACTGTATTTTCGTATGGTATTTATTGTTGTATTCTAGTTTTCTTGGTCTCATTTTATAGAATGGAAGGCATATCATAGAAATTGAGATAATTTTGACTGGTTTTACAATGCAAAGTACCTTGAAATTGAGTTCAAAGTAGCAGAAATGTTCGATTTTTACCCAAGTTCAAGAGTAAACAAATTATGCCAAGCGTCCAATACACGTCAACTGGCGAGTCTAATATTCTTTTGAAAGTGTGCCAATATGATTCATACCATTTTTTACACTAATGCAGTAAGTAGTCTGCATAACAGTAAATCTTCTATTTTTTGTGAGAATAAGAATTCAAAGTGGAAAGCAAAAGAATGTAAGAGGGGCCTTGAGACGTGACTAATGAACAGAGAAAATGTCATTTTAGTGCCAGGAATGTATTTCTTGTTTGTTCTGGACCCTATTCGGAAATTGGCATCTTTTGAAATTTGTGTGAAATTGGCAAAATTGCTAAATTCTGACCACTGTACTGGATAGTTGAAATTGGTAAATGGGTGGTTTCTTGCACTCATTCAATAGAAAAAATGGAGTTCTAGCGAAATATTCATGTTTTTATCGACTAGTACAGTGGAACTGGCCGAAAATGGGGCTCAAAGTGGGCAAAATCGCCGATCCGTAAACATCGCCGAGACCGTTAACTTCGTGAGAGCATAATTCCGTAAGTTTTCCATCAAATTTCATATTTTTGGTGTCATTATGATCGGGAAAAGATTCTCTATCTTTTCATAAGAAATTTTTTTTTTTTTTTTTAAATTTGGCCGACCCTGAGAACGAGTCTCGGAGAGGGCCTGTCGACCCTCAAAGGGTTAATAATGAACTAAAAAATATCTTATATGGATGATTACAAACAAACTCGCCCTTAATACTGACAAAACTTACTACATGATGTTTGGAAATAAAGCTTCAAATAACTAACTAAATATAATGATCAGTGGTTCTCCCACTGTAAGAGAAACCAAGGGTAAATTCTTAGGTCTACACTTGATTGCAACTTGAAAATTAATACCCACATCCAGCAGTGGAGATGTCCTGTCTAAGGGCAATGTGTGGTGTAAATGTTACGCAGAAAATTCGGAGTGTGGAAATTAGGAGAAGGTGTGGAGTTAATAAAAATATTAGTCAGAGGGCTGAAGAGGGGTTGTTGAGGTGGTTTGGTCATTTAGAGAGAATGGATCAAAGTAGAATGACATGGAGAGCATTTAAATCTGTAGAAGAAGGAAGGCGGGGTAGGGGTCGTCCTCGAAAAGGTTGGAAGGAAGGGGTAAGGGAGGTTTTGTGGGCGAGGGGCTTGGACTTCCAGCAGGCGTGCATGAGAGTGTTCGATGGAGACGAATGGTATTTGGGACCTGATGATCTGTTGGAGTGTGAGCAGGGTTATATTTAGTGAAGGGATTAAGGGAAACCGGTTATTTTTATATAGCCAGACTTGAGTCCTGGAAATGGGAAGTACAATGCCTGCACTCTAAAGGAGGGGTTCGGGATATTAGCAGTTTGGAGGGATATGTTGTGTATCTTTATACGTATATGCTTCTAAACTGTTGTGTTCTGAGCACCTCTGCAAAAACAGTGATTATGTGTGAGTGAGGTGAAAGTGTTGAATGATGATGAAGGTATTTTCTTTTTGGGGGGTTTTCTTTCTTTTTGGGTCACCCTGCCTCGGTGGGAGACGGCCGACTTGTTGAAAAAAAAAAAATCCAGCACTTAACTAAGAAAGTCTCCAAAACACTAGGCATCCTCTTTAAGATACATTACTGTGTACCTCATACTTCGTACTGCTCTCAAATCCATTGTTTCTCAACATTTTTTATCATTGCAGAACCCATGAAATAATTTTCATGTTTCAGGGAACCCTTACATAAAAATTATGTTTCAGCACATTGGCCATCTCCCACTGAGGCAAGGTGACCCCCCCCAAAAAATGAAAGGAACACTTCACCATCATCAACACATTCACCATCATTCACACACAATCACCCTCTTTGCAGAGATGCCCAGATATGACAGTTCAGATGTCATTCCAAACAGCCAATATCCCAGACACCTCCTCTAATGTGCAGGCATTTTACTTCCCACCTCCAGGACTCGGGTCCAGCTAACCGATTTCCCTGAATCCCTTCACAAAATATTACCCTGCTCACACTACAACAGCTCATGTCCTAAAACCCATTCATCTCCATTCACTCTTATCTAACACGCTCACACGTGCCTGCTGTATGTCCAAGCCCCTTACACGCAAAAACCTCTCGCGTCCCCCCTCCCTCCATCCTTTCCTAGAACAACCCTTATTCCTCCTTCCCTCCACTACAGATTTATACACCCTCCAAGTCATCCTGTTTTGGGCCAGCCTTTGTAAATGACCAAACCACTTCAACAACCCCTCCTTACCCCTCTGAATATAGCCTCTCCTTACTTAGCGATGTACTTGTTTACTGATGACTCAGACTTAAAACGGGCTCTCTGACCAGTATGCATAGCTAAATAATGTATATTCCTCGATTCTGTTTATTACAGTATGCAGTAAACTACTGTATAAATATTTATAAATATACCAGAAATGTTATAAATGGTGGAAAAATGACATTAAAACAATATCAAGGATCGTTGACACAAACTCGCTACCATTATAGTATGCTCCTCACTTATTGACGAATACGTTTACCGATGAAGTCTTAGAAACAGAACTCCATCATCAAGTGAGGAGAGGCTGTAATTCTTTTAGTAATTCCATACCTCCTAATTTCCACACTACGAATTCTCTGCATAATAAGTACACCACACATTACCCTTAGACACGACATCTCCACTGCCTCCAGCCTCCTCCTTGCTTCAGCATTTACAACCCATGCTTCACACCCATATATGAGTGTGGGTACCACTATATTCTCATAAATTCCTTTCTTTTCCTTCATGGGTAACATTCTTTGTCTCCACAGGTACCTCAATGCACCACCCACTCTTTTTCCTTTATCAGTTCTGTGGTATACCTCATCCTTCATAAACCCATCTGCTGACAAGTCTACTCCCAGATATCTGAACACATTCACTTCTTCCATACTCTCTACCTCCAGTGTGATATCCAATTTTTCTTTTACCTAACTTGTTTGATGCCCTCAACACTTTACTCTTTCTTATCTGTGTTCACTTTCAACTTTCTTCATTTACACACCTGCCCAAACTCGTCCACCAACCTTTGCAGCATTTCTTTAGAAGCTTCCAAAAGCAAAGTATCAAGAAAAAGTAACTGTGTCAACTCCCATTTTGTATTTGTTTCCCCAAAATTTAATCCCACCCCTCTCTCCAACACCCAAGCATTTACTTCTTTTACAACTCTATCTATAAATATGTTAAACAACCATGATGACATTACACATCCCTGTCTAAGGACAACTTGAACTAGAACGTAATCTCCATCTTTCCTACACACCCTAACCTGAGCCTCGCTATCCCCATCAAAAAACTTTACGGCATTTAGTAACTTATTACCTTTTCCGTACACTTACGACATTTGCCACATTACTTCCCTATCAAGTGCTTTCTCTAAATCCATAAATTCTACGAAAACTTCCCTACCTTTATCTACATATTGTTCACTTATATGCTTCAATGTAAACACTTGGTTTGCACATCCCCTACTCTTTCTAAAATCTTGCTTGTCTTCAGCCCTGCTCTCTGTCTTATCTCTAATTCTTTCAATAATAACCCTACCATACACTTTACCTGGTATACTCAGTAGGCTTATTCCCCTTTAATTTTTACTCTCTTTGCCCCTTTTATATAAAGGAACTATGCACCCCATCTGCCAGCCCCTATGTACCTTCCCCTCTTTCATACATTTATTGAACAAAAGTACCAACCACTCCAAAACTATATCTCCACCTGGTTTTAATATTACTGTCATGATCCCATCAGTTCCAGCTGCTTTACCCACTTTCATTCTTCCCAATGCCTCATGCACCTCCCCCAACACTCACATCTGGCTCTACTTCACTCCTAAAAGATATTATACCTCCCTGGCCAATACATGAAATTACTGTCTCCCTCTCTTTAACATTTAACAGTTCCTCAAAATATTCTCACCATCTTTGCAATACCTCCAACTCCCCATCTACAAACTCCCATATTCCGTTTTTAATTGTTAAATCCATTTATTTCTTAGGCTTTCTTAACCCTTTGAGTGTCGAGATCCCTGCTCACAAACTTGCTCATAGTATCGAAAAATTAAAAAAAAAAATTCTTACGAAATGATAAAGAATTTTTTTCCGAGGGTAATGAACCCAAAAGTTCGAAATTTGATGGAAAATTTAAGGAATTATGCTCTTGTGAAGTTAGCGGTCTCGGCAATATTTATGCATTGGTGATTTTGCCCACTTTGAGCCCTATTTTGGGCCAGTTCCTTTGTT